CGCGCGCCCCGCCGGGCCCCCGCCCGCAGGCCAGCCGGCCCGGGGATCGCCGCCCCGCCCAAACCCGCGCCACTTCCGTCGGAGTCAGGTCCTCGCTCTGCTCCCGCGGCCTGAGCGAAACTGCTGAGCTCCAGCCACGGAAGACCCCGTTTTCCGCACCCCAAACACCAGATAACTGAGGTGGCGATTTCTTTTATTTGCTCTTAAACTTAAGTTTTGCTATGACGGCAATTCAGCTTTAATTAATAAAGCCTTCAATCGGAACTCCCCAGGGCAGACTGTTGAACACGTAGGAGGTTGAAATTATGCAGAAGATATTCCATGAAAGAGGATCTTGGCGTAGGACGGCGTAGAGGACTTATTAAAACTTCAGAAGGACACCGTGGACCCAGTTAATAGGCAGATGATACAAAGAGGGAACATATTTGTAATGGGGGATTAATATTGTCAGTATAATTTTCAAAAAAAGTAATAAACATGACTATTACAAAATGAAATGTGTTAAAGATTTTATTCAACTCATTAAGACAATGATAATGGTAAGTCCGGTTTAAAGGCAATTTAATAAAGCAATGTTAGAATAAGATGGCTAAAAATTTTAAAAATTGGGTAGTGTCCTATAGTGACTCAGCCCTATGTATCAGCCTGGGCACTCCCATTCCCACTCCAGAAAAAAACAAAAAATCCTTTTATAATGAATTAATGAGAGCAACTTAAATAATTATTCAGAACAGCCTCTCTATATAATATTTGGAGATAAAGTAGCAGATCTAGAAGCAGGCAGAAGCAATGTCATTAGATCCAGTGTGGCAGGGATTCAAAAATTTCTCTCTCTCTCTCTCTCTCTCTCCCCCCAACCCCCTCCGTCTCGTCTCTCTCTCTCCCTCCCTCCCTCCCTCCCTCCCTCGGTCTCATTTCTATCTCTGTCTCCCTCTGTTCTCTCTGTGTCTCTCTCTGTTCCTCCCTCTGCCCTCTATTCCCTCTTCTCTCCCATTTCCTCCCTTCCTTTTCCTCTCATCTCCTTATAGATCTCTACCTTTCAATTCAGTTTTTCTGTACTAGCTTCATTCTGACAGCTCTTTCTTCATTATGGTACCCTGATGATCGAGTACAACCCCTCAAGAAAGCTTATGTTGCTCACTCATCTATATTGGTTCTGATAAAGCATTCCAATTGACAAGCCTGATTTCGTACCCACCCCTATAGTGGAGCTAGTGAAGTTGCATGACCAACAATGAACAGAGATCCCAACTCTCCCCCAAAGAGAAGAGGTGTTTTGTTTCCCAAGAAAGAGAAAGAGGTGTTAGGCAGGCCAAAACCACAGATTTGCTACAATTAGTATTCGGAAAATGTTGGTGAAAAGCTGCAAGAAAAGACTTCAAAGAAATTCCATGAGACATGCTTACAATAAAGTTATATAAAAACAAGCCTCAATGTCACACTATTCTTCTCCCTTCTTATAATTAGCATACATTTAATTTGCAGCATCCTGCATTACTGCCACTTTGTACTGTTAATTGAAGACTAACAGCATAGTGTTTCCAAGATTGAATCTCTAATTCATATTGTCGAAATTATCGTATATTTAATAACTTCACCTAGTGCATTAGTTAGTTACCTATTGCTATGTAACAAATTACTCCAAAATTTAGGAACTTAAAACAGCAAATAATAAATGTTAAGATAATAAATATCTCAATTTCTATGGAATGGGAATTCAGGAGTCCTTAGCTGGGTGATTCTGGTTCAGAGTCTCTCATGGAGTTGAAGTCGTCTGAAGGATTTCTTCTGAAAGATTGATGCTGGAGGAGCTGATTCTAAGCTACCTTCCATGGCTGTTGGCAAGAAAACTGAGTCTTTTTGCCAATTGTTGGCTGAAGGCCTCTGTTACTTGCCACGTGTACCTCTCCAAAGGGCTTCTTGTGTATATTCACAACCCAGCAGCTGGCTTCCCTCAGACCAAGTGACCTGGGGTGGGGGCAAGGGAGAGAATAGAGCACACGCAAAGAGGAAGCTACAATGTTTTTATTTGACTTAATCTTGTTACTGACACTTCTACCACATTCTATTATAAATGATTTACTAGGTACAGCCCACATTCAAGGGGATGAAAATTAGGCTCCATTGAAGGGAGGAGTCCACTCTGAGCACAAATTATTTATACTCCTCCCACATGCAAAATACATTCTCTTCCTCTCAAGAACCCCAAAAGTTTCATCCCTTTAGAACATTGGCTTGAAATCCAGAATGTTGGCATCTAAAATTACCTCAAGGTATAGGTGAGTCTCCTTGAATGTATCCTTAATATCCTCCAATAAAGTTCTCTTAATCTGGAGACATGTGAACTAAAAAGACAAGTTATGTGCCTCCACGTATGTAAAATATAGTGATGGGACAGACATAGGATAACCACTACACAGTTCTGTTCAAAAGAGGGACAGGGGGGCATCAAGGGGTTTGCAGCAGTTTCAGAATCCAGCTAAGCAAATATTGAAAGTTCCTTGATTAGGTTACAAAGCCTGGAAATAATTCTCCATGGCTCTTGGCTCCACTTTCTGGGCTTTTGGTTCTGCCTTCCAATTCATCTTTCCCTTTTCATGAAAAGTAGTATATGTTTATAGCCAAGTAGTTTTCCCAACCTGCTTTCTACTTGTAGAACTTTGAGGGTGCAAAGACCTTTTTTCATTTGGTGCTATTCCTTTCCTTTTCAGTTCAAACTGACAGTGTTTCTGCTGATACAATTCTGTTAAAAACGGTTGATTTCCCTGTGTGTCTAAGATTCATGTCATTAGACAAAAACTACATCTACCAATCTCTTCAAGGTATTCCCTTCTGTTGAGGGATATGTCCTTAGAAACCATTTTGTTTGATTGAAAAGATGTCAGGACACACTTAAAATATTTAGATGACCTTGCCTCATTGACAGAGACTCTGAGACAGCACAATAGATCTTTCTGAGCACTTCAGGATTTTATAATCACTCCTTGGTTTCATGTTTAGACCACGTTTTCCTGAGAGTGCCTGGACTTGGTCTCTGCCTGAAAGCCAAGTCTCCATTTTAGTGTCGTTGGCTGCCTAGAGAGTCTGAAAAGTTTTGAAACCACCAAGTCATGTCTTCTTTATGTTTAACAGTCCTCCCTTTAGCTTACCTTCCTTCTTCCACATCTTCGTAAAGCAGGAAGATGAAGCTACGAGGCACCCTGACGCTCTCGGTGGGAATCTTAGTTAAGCCACAAATTCGTTAGATAGGCACATCTACTTTCTGCAGGCCTTCGTGTTGCTAATATTTGTGCCATGACATAACAAAGATCTCACATCCTCTAGTTTCCAGTAGGATTTCCTCACTCTTCAAGTGAGTTTCCTCAAGTCTATGTTTTATGAACATTTTTTAAGGTACCTCCTGCTTTCATTAACCCTATCTTCAGAATCATTCCAGCTTCTGCCTACTGCCTGATTCCAAAGTCATGCCCACACTTTAGGTGTTTGTTATGGCAGCACCCCACTTTCAGGTATCAAAATTAGTATTTATTATCTATTGCTGCGTAACAAATTATAGACACAAAGAATGTGTACAATTAAAATTTTGATAGATGGTGCCCAATTTGCCCCCCCAAATAGGGTAACAGTACATAAAAGTGTCCATTTCGCAGTGTTATGAACCTTTTTCAGTTGGTAGCCTGTTTTATGCTGTACTTTCTTGATTACCTGTGAGGCTGAAAAAAATGACATTTTATACCTTTTTCTAGTAAAAGCCTTTTCATATCCTTTGGGTTGGCTTCTTTCTCTAATGATATGTATGGATGATTTTTAAATTATAGATATTAATCTGTCCTGTATATCTCAAATATTTTCTCCTAGGCCATAAATTTTCTTTTATCTTTATTTACATGGTATTTTGTCTTACAGTGGCTTTAACATCTTTTGAGATCTAATCTGTCAATCTTTTTATGGCTTCAAGATTTGTCTTGATTAGGATTCAAATATAATAAAATTTCTTTTTTTCCTAATGCTTTTATAATTTTGTTTTTAAGTTGCATGCTTTTATATAGCTAATGTTTATTTTTGTGCAGAGTTGAGGTAAGGCTGTAGAAAGAGTAGAGTGAGGGAACATATAAAATGGAGTCACTTTAACCAAGCTGCTAAAATTATTAACATTATGAAGGTTGAGACATGAGGAAAGACTCTATTTTTATTCTAACTAGCCTGGGAACTTAAACTTTTTAAACTTTTCGGTCCTGTGTCAACGCCTGGGTATACATTTGGACAAACATCAGATCTCCAGATAACCCTCTCATTAACCCCTGAAGGACTCATGTACCCTGATCACCTGACATCCACCTGACATTCATCATCCAGACTGCCTGACATCTGACTGATAACCGTCTTAGACCAATTCTAGGGCTAAGAATGCAGGACCGATTATTCTCAAGAATATACTTTTACTAAAAGAACTCAACTGTTCTTTCTTCTTTGGAACACCTTTGGGTTTTTGCCTGTTGTGTGACCAGTTTGCAAACTCTAAAACCCTTCAATAAATCTGTATCATTTACTTCTAGCCAAAGCCTCGAGACTCTTTTTGAGTTTGTTCAACAACTGTAACTTTTCTTTCACCATACATGGATAGCCAGTTATCAAAATGCCATGCATTGAATAAGCTGTTCTTTCTTCACTGGTTTTTGAAATATTTTCTATACTTTATTCTAAGTTTTCTTTAAAATTTTTAAAACTTTTTCAATTACAGTTGACATTCTATATTTCTTAGATCCATTTTATTTTGTTATTTATTTTTTTAATTTTTACCTGTCAATTAAAGTTGACATTCAATATTATGTTATATTTTATATTTATTATTATTTAGTTTCAAGTGTACAGCGTAGTGGTTAGACATTTATATAATTTACAAAATGATCACTCCAATTTGTCTTGTACCCACCTGGCA